GCAAGAACAGAAAAATACAGTAAGTTTCCATCTTTCCTCACTAATCTACAAATAAATTCTAGAAAAGCTACCAACTATGAAAGTTGGTATGAAACATGGAAGTACCCCAAAGAGCCATGGAAGTCTGTCTTTAACCATTAGTATTCTCCATAATTAATTAAGTTATGGATGACCCACTCCTGGCTTTCTCCCTCCAACCATTGTTCATATGTAGCTACATTTACATGTTCCGTCAGACAGCAGAAAGCTTAGTCCTGAGTCAGTTTCCTTAACTTTGCCTAGCAACAGCAGCTCAGTTTTTGCTATGAGAAACAGCGAATGTAAAAGCTTGTTCCATAGTGACAAAAGAGTGCTCGCCTCCAGGAACTCAAGCCAGACCTAGAGTGCTGTGAAGTTGGGACTGAGACCCTGGAAACCATCCTGATATTTACTGTGAGACTTGTGGGATGAAGGGAACGCAGAAGAGACGTGTTCTTAGAATCATAGAATCATAGAATCATAGAATATTTTGGGTTGGAAGGTACCTTTAGAGGTCATCGTGCCCAACCCTGCTGCAGCAAGCAGGGACACCGCTACCTAGATCAGGTTGCTCAGAGCCCCATCCAACCTGGCCCTGAATGTTTGCAGGGATGGAGCCTCCACTACCTCTCTGGGCAACCCCTTCCAGTGTTTCGCCACCCTCATTGTGAAGAATTTCTTCCTTATATCCAGTCGAAACCTACCCTGCTTCAGTTTAAAACCATTATCCCTTGTCCTGTCACAGCAGGCCTTGCTAAAAAGATTGTCCCCATCTTTCCTATAGGCCCCCTTTAAGTACCAAAAGGCCGCAACCAGGTCTCCCCGCAGCCTTCTTTTCTCCAGGCTGAACAAGCCCATCTCCCTCAGCCTGTCCTCATAGGAGAGGGGCTCCAGCCCTTGGATCATTTTGTAGCCCTCCTCTGGACCCACTCCAACACTTCCATGTCCTTGCGCTGAGGGCTCCAGAGCTGGATGCAGTACTCCAGGTGAGGTCTCACCAGAGCAGAGTAGAGGGGCAGAAAGAGCTGAGTAGAGGGACAGTTCTTGGTGACCTCTGTTTCAAGGAGGTTACTGCTGCATTGTTCATGAATTGGTGATCCTGGTAATACTGTTTTGAAGTACAGTTGTGTTGCAGTCGCAGTCTGGGAGCCTTCCAACAGTTAGCTTCTTGGATGCATTGAAACTTGAGCTACAGTTTTAACTTTCTACCCTGATATACTTGGACCAGGCAACAATCCAACTGTGGCTTTTTCTGTTGTGTTTTTTACACTGTTAATTCTAGACTCATGTAGCTTTATCATTTGTGATACTGTAATGAAATCATTATGATCTTCTTGAGGCCTTGAGCATGTGCATGTAGCATGCTGCGGGTGTTTGAAGAGGAAATGCTGCAGCTAGAGGCTTTTGGTGTTGGCATGCCCTCTAAAAAGGCAGTTTGCACCAAGTCTTCAGTTAAAACTTCAGTCTCTTTGCATGCTGAGGCAAACACGACAGCTTCATCTCTTTTTAGACCTGTTGAGGGGGATCATTTCAGT